TTTTCTTATGAAGGTCTCATTCATTACCTCCGTACCAGTTGAGTTCTGTGGCATGTTGCCAGCAACCCTAGGGCCTAAGTCTGTCCATCTATTAATACCTACTACCATTCTGAACCATCGAACTGAAAGAGGCAGAATGACTGTGAATGCTGTTCACAGTAAACGCCAGGTGGGAGACTATGAACTTGAGTCTGAGTCAGTTGACCTGGTAGCATCTGTTCTTAAAATAATGTCTGTGGTGGTCCATCACCATGTTCCCCTCCCTGCCCTGTCTACTTCTTATATCCTGAGATCTATTTTCTTATGAAGGTCTCATTCATTACCTCCGTACCAGTTGAGTTCTGTGGCATGTTGCCAGCAACCCTAGGGCCTAAGTCTGTCCATCTATTAATACCTACTACCATTCTGAACCATCGAACTGAAAGAGGCAGAATGACTGTGAATGCTGTTCACAGTAAACGCCAGGTGGGAGACTATGAACTTGAGTCTGAGTCAGTTGACCTGGTAGCATCTGTTCTTAAAATAATGTCTGTGGTGGTCCATCACCATGTTCCCCTCCCTGCCAGCCCCAAGAAGCCCATCTCTTGGGGACACTGCAGAAGGCAGCCATATGGGAAGATACAGCACAGGAAAAGGGAGGGGTTAGGACCAGACTCTTCAAAGTTCGCGTGATGAAGAGAGAGCTAGAAAGAAAAGTAATGTTACTGAAAAAAAGGAATTCGTAAGCTCCTCCCTCATTCCATAGCTTTGGTGTGATGAAGCTGTCCTGTACGTGCACACACAGCATTGCCACCTCCTGACGCCTTCCTTTACCTATAACTAGGCACCTTAATTGCCACCTGTTGGTTGTTGGATGCCTGGCAGGTCATAATATATATGTTATCTCATTAACTCTGTTAAGGAAACAGAGTCTGGTGAGCATAGGTGTCTTACACGGACCACAGAGCCAGTCAGTAGGAGAATTTGGACTGGTCTCAGGAGTCTGCCTTCACCGCCTGTGCTTTTTCTACAGCATGATGCTGCCCATTACTTTCCCACCACCCCTTGTTCAGAAACAGGGTAAGAATGACCATTTTAGCACACATGCCTGATTTGTGCCTTTTAGATTTACTTTGGTTTATTTTCAGGATCAAGTTTTACCAATTTTTGGAGACATCTCCATCCAACATAAAAAACTCTTTTTACCTCTTGTAAAAGCAGAAGCTTTCAAAGCCCCTTCCAAGTGCTAAAATCCCATGAATCTGTGAAAACACATTTCCCAATCCCTTTCTGTCTCTTCTCTAAGTGGAATGTCACCTTATTTTGTATTCAGTGTTCAACGCATACTGGTAACTAAGAACAATTTCCCGTCAGGATTATATTCCTGAGAGCCTGTGGCTTTAATGTGCTTACAGTTAACACTGGCCAACCTCACCTAGTTAGTCCCAGAGCTTCTCAACCTTATTCTGTTCATGGCACCCTTAGTGCCTCATAATTTTTTGTGTTTTAATTCATGTCTCAGTTTTTTCATGCTACCTCTAGGTCAGAAGAAATACCTAACAGTTCCACTTATAGAATAGTTAGGTCCAAGCAACTAAATATGTATAAACATTGATGTTCTAATGGCTTATTACCTGCCTGAAAAAATAATACACACAGATTGAAAAAAATAACATTTTTATTTCATTCTTAAATAACCACAATTACTAATGGATATGTGTGCCTGTTGGGCATGGTACAATTTCTTAAATCTTGGAATCAGATTGGATACTGTCACCTTTATTGCTTGTTCCACATTGATTTTTTGCTTCTCAAGGACATGATATCATTGATAGAAATGTGGCATGAGCTGATGGGTGAATTGTGAACTATTTCAAGCTGGTAGTTCGTGTGCTATTGACAAATATTGAATATTGCTGTATTTCCCTCGGAAGTTTGAAATATCTTTTGGTAACCCTCTGAGTTCGTCGCAGTGCTCCAGAGGAGGGGTGTGCCTTGCTGTATAGTTTGGGAACCAAGGGTTTAATCCTTTATTATATCAACAAGATGAAAGGCTTTACCGAAAGAGCCGAGATGTGTGAGCACATGTGTGTGTGTGCATGTGTGTGTGAGAGAGAGAGAGAAACTGTGTGTGAGAGTGACCATATTCAGATGGCAGATAATTTTTTGTCCTGTTTGTAGCTCACAGCAGCACCCACCTCACAACATTGGTAGAGGCTTAAATCCGTACAGTTACGCCTCAACTCCTCTTGCAAAAATGGTTATCCCCAACTTGGTATTAAATTTAAAAACAACCTGCGAATACAGGTTTGTATGCATGCACCAGCAAAAATATTTCATCGTATGAGATCCCTTGGGAAAGGATACGAAGTGCACAGCACTCTTGGCTCCCAATAGGATTGTGTTTCACACTTGTGTTGTGTAAGCGAGTTATACATTATTGCTACCATCTTCTCCACATTATTAAGTGAAAATGTCTTGCACGAATGTGGAAGAACCTGTGGAGGAAACAAGTTCACCAAAGCGGGGCTCGAGAGAGCTAATGATTAGCCAAACCGTCAAGAACTGATTAAGCATATTGAGAGATGCTGGTAAGATGACATAAACTTAGCTGTGCACTGCTGGCCACTTATTGCACACACCTAATTTATCACTAGCACTGACTATTAAAGAATTAGATAACTGGTGTTTTATGTGCTTTGTATTATACAAGCAAAAAATTGTATGGATTGTTACAGAGATGTTTAAGGGTGTTTTAGTAGTATCTGGGGAACTTGGATAGGATTTTTGGGTGAGCTGGGAGAGCAATATTTTTTTCCACCTAAAATAATACAATCTAGGCTGCTGTTAAACAAAATATGTATTTAGTTACAGATTAGATTCTACAGACAAAATATTGCATTAACAAAATTTTCACTGATGTTTTCAAAATATTTAAGTACTACATAAACAGAAGTTTTTACTGATATTAATATGCAAAACTTATATGGCTTTCTCAGTGTCCCTGGTCCAAATTGCTCGAGGCCCCAGATAAAGTTGAAAAATGTGTGTGTTTTCTGTCAGCAGCCTACCTCCCCTACAACGCCCACCAAGCCCGTGGTGCCCCTGGAGTGGGCCTCAGGCGTGATGCCAAAGCCAGATCCTACAGTCATCAACAAGCACATAAGGAAATTAGTTGAGGTAAGTGGTTGAGGGACAGTTAAATGTGAGCAGTTAAAAGGAGGCCCCGTTCTCTTTCCAGAGTATTCTCGGGTTGCCCAGGAATCAGATGGAGTCCATGAAAACAGCCCTCTAGCAAGTAAGAGCAATTCAGCAGACACTTAGCTCTACCTGGCACTGGCTTCTGGGGAAGAACCTCCCAGGAAGTCCCCCTTTCCCCTTCCTGTCTGTCAGTTCTCACTTGCCCAAATACTCTCAGCTACTTAGAACCCCTCACTTCCCCAGGCATTTGACACTTCTGTCATTGTCCCTGCAACCCAAGCGACTGTTTGAGGATTAGAATCTACTCATTAAAATCCACATGGAGGGCTTCCCTGGTGGTGCAGTGGTTAAGAATCTGCCTGTCAATTCAGGGGATACGGGTTTGAGCCCTGGTCCAGGAAGGTCCCACATGTCGCTGAGCAACTAAGCCCGTGCGCCACAACTACTGAGCCTACGCTCTAGAGCCCACAAGCCACAACTACTGAGCCTGCGTGCCACAACTACTGAAGCCCACATGCCATAACTACTGAGGCCCACGCACCTAGAGTCCATGCTCCACAATAAGAGAAGCCACCCAATGAGAAGCCCGTGCACCGCAACAAAGAGTAGCCCCTGCTCACCGCAACTAGAAAAAGCCCTCAGGCAGCAACAAAGAACCAATGGAGCCAAGAATAAGTAAATAAATAAATAAGTTTATAAAAAAAAAACCCACATGGGTCACCATAAAATGCTGGATAAATTGGTTACCTGAGGGTAGGAAAAAATACTGTAAGTTGAGTAGTTTCTCCAGCTGTATATATTTGGGGGTCTGTGACACCGCAGCGCAACAGCATTTAGGTCAGAAACATCACTTAATGAAGGGCAAGATTGCGTCAGCATTTTCCATATTAAAAACAACAAAAAAAGAGTAGATGCACCAATGTGGGAAAGATGGAAATATCTCAGACACTAGAAATTGTGACTGTTGATTAAACATCTCCCTTCATGGACTAGTACATCCTCAGATACAATAGGAACAAGTCTTTGGGATATTATGTGCTCTTTGCTGGGAAAGGACGTTTACAGAAAAAGAATGTTCTATATCTTGGATCATCCATGGAACTATGAAGTGCTGAAAGAAAAGTTGCATGGGGCATGGGAGTCAGGAAGGGGAGATTAGAAAGGGTGAGGGAAGGGGATGAGACAGCCATAAGGTCCAGTGGAGACCATGTGATGATGTGGTAGTGACAGACCCAACTTGGAGCCAGGGAAGGTGGGCAAAGGATCTGGGTGCATGGAGTTGCAGCTCAGGAAGGTCTAGAATCAGGAAATGAATGAAGTATTTTTTCTCCTACTCTCTCCTCTGCTTTTCTCTGAATGCTCACTCCATTCTCTGCAGACAGACTTTCCTTGCTCCACACGAGGAGCCTCTTTCTCCCCCACCCCTTTGTACCTTACCTCTTTTCTCCAATTCCAGTTTCATGGGGGAAGGTCGGCCCAGTTTGGTTAGATTGAGTACTGTTGATTTAATTGAATAAATGGCTGGGTTTCATTTGAATTTCCATAATGAATTTTATTCCAAAAAAATCTTGTACTCTCATTATAAATACGGGTATTGAACTATAAATCGTAAGTACTCCATAATAGTTCATTTTTAAGCAATTTTGATTATGGATAAGCATTGATAGTGAGACTTGCAAAAAAATTCAGTCATTTATGGATAAACTTGCAATGGGTGCTAAACAATCATATTTTTAATTAAGTAATTTGTTCATTTATACTTTGCCTACTTCCCAAAATACTCCTGAAGCAGTTGTGCCCTAAGGCAATACAGATAATATATAATAGAAACCACAGGGGAATTGCCAACAAACACATGAAAGAATGTTCAACATCACTAATCATTAGAGAAATGCAAATCAAAACTACAATGAGGTATCACCTCACACCAGTCAGAATGGCCATCATCAAAATATCTACAAACAATAAATGCTGGAGAGGGTGTGGAGAAAAGGGAACCCTCTTGCGCTGTTGGTGGGAGTGTAAATTGATACAGCCACTATGGAGAACAGTATGGAGGTTCCTTAAAACACTACAAATAGAACTACCATACGACCCAGCAATCCCACTACTGGGCATATATCCTGAGAAAACCATAATTCAAAAAGAGTCATGTACCACAATGTTCATTGCAGCTCTATTTACGAAAGCCAGGACATGGAAGCAACCTAAGTGTCCATCAACAGATGAATGGATAAAGAAGATGTGGCACATATATACAATGGAATATTACTCAGCCATAAAAAGAAACGAAATTGAGTTATTTGTAGGGAGGTGGATGGACCTAGAGTCTGTCATATGGAGTGAAGTCAGAAAGATAAAGACAAATACCATATGCTAACACATATATATGGAATCTAAAAAAAAAAAATACGGTTCTGAAGAACCTAGGGGCAGGACAGGAATAAAGATGCAGACATAGAGGATGGACTTGAGGACACGGGGAGGGGGAAGGGTAATCTGGGACGAAGTGAGAGAGTGGCATGTACTTATATATTCTACCAAGTGTAAAATAGATAGCTAGTGGGAAGCAGCCACATAGAAAAGGGAGATCAGCTCGGTGCTTTGTGTCCACCTGGGAGGGAGGGAGGGAGATGCAAGAGGGAGGAGATTTGGGGATATATGTGTATATATAGCTGATTCACTTTGTTATAAAGCAGAAACTAACACACCGTTGTAAAGCAATTATACTCCAATAAAGATGTTAAAAAAAAAAAAGAAATCACAGGGGAAAGAGAGATTGCTTCATTATAACTGGACTCTAAGTCAAATGTTTGCATACATGTGTTTGCAGGGAGAACTTACAAACTTTTTGAAAATCCAATTTAGCAGAGGGCAATGGAAAAATCTTTTTTCTTTTTTTTTTGCGGTACACGGGCCTCTCACTGTTGTGGCCTCTCCCGTTGCGGAGCACAGGCTCTGGACGCGCAGGCTCAGCGGCCATGGCTCACGGGCCCAGCCACTCTGAGGCATGTGGGATCCTCCCAGACCGGGGCATGAACCCATGTCCCCTGCATCGGCAGGCGGACTCTCAACCACTGCGCCACCAGGGAAGCCCAGAAAAATCTTTCTTATTTTTCTCTGATTATAAAGAAAGCCAGGGCAGTCCACTGGTTAGGACTCAGCACTTACACTGACATGGCCCCAGGTTCAATCCCTGGTTGGGGAATTAAGATCCCGCAAGCCACGTGGTGCGGCAAAAAAATTAAAAAATTAAAAAGCTGAATATTAAAACATTTCAGAAATAGAAAGTTTTACTTTCAGGACTTGATGTCTCTTCTGTCTAGGGTTAATCACTGATAATTTGTAGATCATCTTGTATGATTTTATTCTCCCCCCCCATACACACACACACATATATACATGTATATCTCTGAGAAAGCTTGTTCAGTTATTTCCTTAGAACAATTCCTAGAAGTGGAATTGCTGTGTCAGAGTAAGCACTGATTGTCCTCCAGAAAGACTGTGGCTATTTGCTTTACCAACTTGATAAGAGAGTGCCTATTTTCTCATAACCCTAGGAAATTATCAATTGTTTTAATGTTTTCCAATTTGAGAGGTAAAAAAAAAGTTTCATTAGTATTTCCATAATTACTAGCAGAATTGAATGTCTTTCCATGAATGTATTGTCCATTTGTATTTTTACTTTGGTGATCCTCTGTTTTCCTTTTGTGTCCTCTCATAAGTGTTGCAAATGATTTTCTCTGTCATTTATATTTAAATTTGTTAATTGAGCTTTTTTGGTTCAGATATTTTGCATTTTATTGTAATGAAATACTTTTGTTTATGACCTCTGACTTGGATGTCGTCCTAAGAAAGGTCTTTCCTACTCAAAGATAATAAAACATGAAAAATATTTTTATCTATTTACCTTTGGTTTTTTATAACTTAATTTTTACATTAAAATATTTAAGGCATCTGGAATTTAGTTTGGGGGCAATTTGTTTTATAAGATTATCAGCCATTTAACTCAACAGCAATTATTAGATAACCCATAATTTCCCTGTGCATTTGAATAGATACTTTTGGATATTCTGAATTCTTACATACATATGGATCTGTTTCTGGACTGTACTCTCTGCAGTAAGTTGCAATACCATGTTGTTTTGACTAATGTATCTTTGATTTCTGATAGGGCACATTGCCCCTCATTACCCGTCATTGTTTTAGTTGAAATATAACTGACCTTCTAGGTGTTTTAGGTGCACAACATAGTGATTCAATATTTCTACACATTACAAAATGATCACCACAATAAGTCTAGTTACCATCTGTCACCATACAATGATATTAAAATATTACTGACTATATTACCCATGCTGTACTTTCCATCCCGTGACTCGTTTATTTTATAACTGGAAGTTTGCACCTCTTAATTTCCCTCACCTATTCATTCATCCTCCCACTCCTCTCACCTCTGGCAACCACGTGTTTGTTCTCTGTATCTATGAATCTGTTTCTGTTTTTTTTTTGTTTGTTCAATTGTTTTTTAGATCCCACATACAAGTGAAATCCTATGATATTTGTCTTTCTCCGCCTGACTTATTTCACTTACAGTAATACCCTAAGGTCTATCTATGTTGTCAAAAAATGGCAAGATTTCATTCTTTTTTATGGCTGAGTCATATTCCATTTTATTTATATACCACATCTTTATCTATTCATCTATTGATGAACACTTAGGTTGCTTCCATATCTTGGCTATTGTAAATAACGCTGGAATGAACACAGGGATGTATATATCTTTCAAATTAGTGTTTTTGATTTCTTTGGAAAAAATACCCAGAAGTGGAATTACTGGATTGTATGATAGCTCTGTTTTTAATTTTTGAGGAACTTCTATACTGTTTTCCATAGTAGCAGCACCAATTTGTAATCCCAACAACAGTACATGAGGGTTCCCTTTTCTCCTCACCCTCACCAACACTTGTTATTTGTTGTCTTTTTGATCATAGCCATTCTGACAGGTGTGAGGTGGTATCTCTGTGTGGTTTTGATTTGCATTTCCCTGAGATGAGTGATAAGTGATGTTGAACATCTTTTCATGTGTCTGTTGGCCATCTGTAAGTCTTCTTTGGAAAAATGTTTATTCAGGTCCTCTACCTATTTTTTAATTGGGTTGTTTGTTTTTTGATATTGAGTTGTATGAGTTCTTTGTATATTTTGAATATTATCCCCTTATCAGAGATATCATTTGCAAGTATCTTCTGCTATTCAGTAGGTGGCCTTTTCATTTTGTTGATAGTTTCCTTCCCTGTGCAAAAGCTTTTTAGTTTGATATAGTCCCAGTTGTTTGATTTTGCTTTTGTTTCCCTTGCCTGAGATCATTACTCCTCACCTTAAACAAACAATTTTAGGTTATTCTCAACATGTTCACTTCTATAGGAACTTTAGAATCAATTTGTTCATTTCAAACAAATTCCCACCGGGATTTTGACTGCAATTATGTTAAATGTATACTTTGATTTTTGAGATAATCTAACATTTTAAAGTTTCATTTTCTATTGTCATGGTACTGGGATTTGTGAATTCACCAAGCCTTACTCCTACTCAACCCTGAGGTCTCAGTTGAGACCTTGCTTTCTCCAGGAAACATTTTAAAATCTCCCTTCCCCCCTCCCCCAGCACTCTGTCTTTATCCTCAGCGTTGCACTTATCTCATTATACCATAAAGGCATCTCAATTTTGTTATCTCCCACTAGATTCCAAGCTCCTTGATAGAAAGAATAATATGCTAGTTATCATTGCTTTCCCAGTAACAATTCAGAGGCTGATTCGTAAATAGTCATTCAATAAATATTTGCCTTTCCTTTGCAGTCTGTGTTTAGAAATTATGACCATGACCAGGACGGGTACATCTCCCAAGAGGACTTTGAAAGTATAGCTGCCAATTTTCCCTTCTTGGATTCCTTTTGTGTGCTGGACAAAGATCAGTAAGTTTGATTTTGTTTTATTGTAATGCAACTGTCCGGAAGCAGAAAATTACTACGAAAGGAGAGCAGGGAAACCTTTAATTTATGTCTTGACAGAGTTGATCCTAGTGTATTGATGAAAGGTGTCTAAGGTGTCTTTTCACTGATTTTTTTCTTGGTGTCCACAAACATGACTGGCTGGATGGAATCACAGGGCAGACCACATCATCGGTGTTAAGTACAAGTGCTCACTTACAAATTAGCCCAGCTCTCCATTTCCGATATTACTGCTGCAACTTAGCTAGTTCATCAACCCCAAAACTTCCATCAGAAAAGAATAGAGACTAAATATAGTTAGATCTAGCATGGTGGAGTCCTCAGCATCAGTGCACCCGGGGGCAATCTTAAAAGTCATCAAGTAAGTAAGATCTTTTTTTACATTACTTACGATCTTCAGGAGAGCAGGTGATGGCTGCAGATAGCCAAGAAGTGTTTATGCTTTGTTTTTTCCTTTGCTAGTTCAGAGGTTGTCTTGAGAAACAAAGGAAAAATATATTTCTCTTTAGCTTCATATGATTCATGGGAGATTAAATAACTTCAGAGGCTAAAACCTGGATCATTAAAAGAATATAATGATTAAAAAAAAATTTGCCAAGAAACCCTGGCATTAATAATTTTATCACTTCATTTTTAGTTATATGAGATCAGTTCCTAGTTTAAAAATCATCTGTAATGAAATGCTGGATTTTATATTGGTTAAATGTCCAAGTTATATCACATTAAAATTCTCTAATGTTTTTGTTGGTGTGAGAATTAAACGAAAATTAAAGCCTTGGTACTTTATCATAAACGTCTTAAAACCGTAATCCATCTTCATTGTACAACAGAGAATACTTTTAAAATAAAATTAAGTTATTAGAAACATACACTTCCTTTATAAAATACAACTTAAGTTTTATTTTATAAAACTCACTTCCCACTAACTACCCACTTCTTCCCTCAGTTTGTTTCTGTCAGTGACATGTTCGTAGAACATGAACTTAAAATCACTTCCCAGTCTTCATTTTGTTTCTCTGCCGGTTCTTGTTTGGAACAGAGTGTCCCAGCAGATATATTTTTTTCCTAAAAAAACTTTTTTCCCCTAAAAATGAAGGTTTAAAGTATTCATAGCTTACATGATTTCTTTTGTCAGACAGGCTTAGATATGTTGATTTTGAGAGAAGAATGGACCATCCAGGAGAAGATTCTAACAAGTTGTCAAAGATATGGCGCCAAGATTCAGTAGAACGGTTAGGGCAAGAGATGTAGATTGTTAGGTCTTCAGCCCAGTCGTGTTAAGCTGGAGTTCCAGGAGTGTGAGCACAGTCTGATGGGAAAGTTTAGAGGAACACGAGCACGGGGACGCAAGGAACACAGCTTCAGGGACTCCTCTCCCCACGTGCAGCAACTGAAAGGAAGACGTGGATCCTGCAGAAGAGCTGGCAAAGGGGGCGCATAAGAGGCAGGAGGGAAACCAGGGCTACGTGGAATCACAGGGGACTGTGGAGGAGGGAGTGTCAAAAAGGAGGAAACCTGTCCCATGTCACATGCTGCCAGGAGGTCAAGTTCAAGGAATGAGAAAAGGCCGCTGTGGATGTCACTGTGACAGTTTCAGTAGAATGGTGGGTTAGAAACCTGATTATATGGAGGAAAGAATAATTGAAAGAAATGGAAAAAGTGTCTAACGAGTACTCTTCTTGAAAACTGCAGGAGTAAGAGAAGAAAAAGGGAAAAGACAAATGTTGGAAATGGAGGCAGGATTGAGGAAAGACATTTGTAAGGAGGGGAAGTCCTGAGTGTATTTGTAAACAAAGGAAAGAGTGGGTGACAAGATGCAGCAGGAGAAACATGGTCCTGGAGAGGCTGGAGAGTGGGGGAGGGGAGAATGACCCCAAGAGAGGACCGACGAGATATAAAGGAATTCTGAACTGCCATGGAAGGGTATGGAGAGAAGGCAATATGCAGCTCCCTTACGCCAATGGATTTGATCTTTTTTGGTAAACAAGAAGTCAGGGTGTGTGGTGGTAGATGCAACCAGAGTTTCTATGTGGAGAAGATCTGGGAGAATCACTCTAGTGAATGGTCTGTGAGCCAGTAAGACATGAATGAAAAGATTACCAATGGTAGTGGCCTGGATGACATCAGGCAGAATGAATATGAGAATGGTAGGTCCAGTTTTCACAGTTTTCTGCCTTTCTCCAGCAACCAGATTCTTGCAAACTCTATTGTGAGGCAAAGGCTAGAAAGGAGATGTCCTTCTGGAAGCTACTACTTGGTAATGAAGAAGACTTTCTGTGCTGCAGTGCAAAAGCCACACACACACACACACGCACACACACACATATCTTCTGCTTGCTAAGAAAGCCTTTGACACTGAAAGCTGTCCTTTGAGTTTCTCTCTTTTCAGATGCGACAGGAAAGTGAACATTCCCCACCCCCCACCCCCAGCTTTTGTCCAGAAAGGTTTGGGAGGTGAGTGATTTAAGTGTGGCAACTACTTAGCAACATGGTATTCAAAGATCCCTCTCTTCTTTGATTCTCTTCACAGGGATGGTCTAATTAGTAAGGATGAAATGATGGCTTACTTCCTGAGAGCTAAGTCCCAACTACACTGTAAAATGGGACCGGGATTTGTCCATAATTTTCAGGAGATGACCTATCTCAAGCCAACCTTCTGTGAACACTGTGCAGGATTTGTAAGTCTGTTTTCCATTGCTTTCTCTTCTATGTAGTGATTTGTGCAGTATTCTGAGAATGTGGGAAAATGATACATGAACAGAGTCCATTGTCTGCCTTAGATCCAAAGTAAAACATGATGGCTCCCTGAAATTAAACATTCAATTAAAAACAAAAGCAAGATCTGCAGATTTAGCCATGTTCTTTCTAGGAATGCAGGGCTGGAGAAGACAGGGAAGGTTGGTGAGGCGTATTAACTCAGGAGAGCAGTTTGTCTGTTAATACCTGCCAGGGAAAAGTTCTGCCCAATGAGCCATGGCATCCATCACTGAGTGCAATTAAGTGGTGTATTTATTATAGCCAGTTCCTCTCAGTTCTTGTTTCATATGGTGTCAGTCACTAGAAATCTATCATGATATGGCTCCATAACTCAGTGAGGAAAAAAAATCTTTTCGAAGAGAAGATGGTTATAATAATAAATAACATTTACTCGGCATTTGACAGTAATAAAATATTTCCTGAGGCATTAGTGTAATTAATCCTCATAACTAGCCCATAAGGTGGGCCTTTTACTCTCCCCATTTGCATATGAATGTAGAGAGGTCCAGAGAGGATAACTCAAGTTTCCCAGGATTTCACAGCCAGTAATGACTAGAGCCGGGACTCAAACTCTAGTGTTCTGGCTCTACCTACACCACTGCAACAAATGAAGGTTGAACACCTCACTTCCCCACATCTGATGATCCTTTAGCAACTAAGGTCATGTTTGGCCCTGGTGTTAAACAAAGACCCTCGAGCTCTGAACATCTTCTAGTTGATATCCAAGTAATGTAAGATGGAAAATGTAGTACTCTACACAAGGGTAGCCCAGCAGCCAGGTGAGTGGCATTTGTCCAGATGCCAGCTCAGTTTTGTTAGCTTCATTCAGCAGTCATGTCCCCCTGTGGACCCGTATGGAATTCGTAGCTGATATCATATACGCTCCCATTAAATTACATTTTTCGCTTTCAGTCTTGAATAACTGGCTTTGGGGAGCCAAAGGGCAGGTGTTTGAATTCAAGCACACACCCCGCTGAGAACAGGTAAATTAGAGGCAGTGGTTACCTCAAAGATGGCCCCCCGTGATCATAGAACCTGCTGTGATCAAGGGGCAAGGCAGCCTAACCAGCTCCCTTAGCCCACCCCAGGGAAGGAGAGGTTCTCCTACCAGCTACACCACTGGGATTGCATCACCTGGCCATTTTATCATCAAACAAATACTTTTCCTTCTTCATGTATCTCTCTTCTGATGGGAATTTTTGCCTGTATCTAGACCTGAAAAATGCTCAAGTGGTACGGAGCCATGTGTAACTCTCTCCTGCAGAGTGAGGCCCAGGGAATCTGTTTGGCCCTGGCCTGGCACAGCCAGAAGTCAGGCTGAGACATCTGACCCATGGTGTGGTATGAGAGTTGGTAGGTCCTTATCAAATCTCAAGGTCTTGTCTCTGCTCTCCAGTCCTTCTGGATGTCTCTCCCTTCCATGGAGGCTCTGGTTCTATAGAAGCAGCAAGGTAGGCTTTCTTGGGAGCTTCCACACGCTTCCCTCCCCAACTCATCAGAGCGGATTTGCTGGCGCTAGGTTTTTGATGCAGCTGTGATCAGGTCGAAAGCTCTGGACTTGGAGTCCAGAACTCTGACTTTGAATCTCAATTCTGCCCCTTATTAATCTATGTCCTTGACCAAATTATTGATCATCTTTGAGTCGCTGTTTTCCTATCTGTAAGAGGGGGTTAAGACTTACCTGCCATGTTGTTGTGGTATTAAATGATATCAGACATGTTGCATACCACAGAGCTCAGAGTGAATCTTTCTCTTTTTTTAGTGTTCCTTTATGCTTTTGGAGTTTTATCGAAATTAACTAATTCAGAGTTTTAATATCCCTTTTTATTTTTCAAAATATACTTAATTTCCTTGCTATAATTTGAATTGATCTTTACTCACACACCTTTTTTAAAAAGCTCTTTGGTTTTCAAAGGGATTTATAAATACCATGCTCTAGCTGGGTCATTGAAAGGAACTGTGGGGGAATAGAAGGAACTATTTTTTAGTGCTTGGACCACCTGCTTTTGAAATAAATTCCATTTTAAGGGTAAGGAAGACAAATAGACACTGCTTGAAATACATTGATTTTAGAATTAGAATTCCAGAGCTGAAAGAATTTTGCTAATTCCCTTATTTTGAGCTCTGGAGAAGTTAAGTGACTTCCCTAAGGTCACATGGATCACTAGCAGCAGAACCATGACTCATGTTTAGTTCTCCTTACTCCCAGTCGAGTGCTCCTCCCACCACAGTCACTCCAAGTCTTACAGCAGCCTCAGGTCTCTAAATCAGAGACTGTGGGAAGTACCCTCTCCTGTCCTTGGCTGGCACGCTGACCCAGAGCCTCTTCGTGCCTCGTGTTGTCTCCTGCTTCTTTTTTTTTTTTTTTTTTTTTTTGCGGTATGCGGGCCTCTCACTGTTGTGGCCTGTCCCGCTGTGGAGCACAGGCTCCGGACGCGCAGGCTCAGCTGGGATCTTCCCGGACCGGGGCACGAACTGCATCGGCAGGTGGACTCTCAACCACTGCGCCATCAGGGAAGACCCCCTGCTTCTTAAGTAAGCATTAGCAAGCAACGCCCTGACTTGCCTGCCTCATGGGACTCATGCTTGACTTTATCTTCTTCAGCAGTTTCTGCAGCTATGCTAATAACGTGCCATAGCCAGAGATTTGGATGCTTCTTAAACCTTATCCTTTCTTGTCCTAGATCAGCGGCTTTTGTTCTGATCACACACAAAACTCCCAGGAGCAATGGCTTCCTCTCTTTCCCTGAAGTGACATACTCTTCACATTCTTCTTTTCCTACTTACTAGCTATGAGATCTTGCCAAATGACTTCACCTCTCTGTAGCTTAGTCTCCTCATCTGTAAAAATGAGAAAATTATTATTACCTATCTCATAAGGATATTGTGAGCATTAAATGAATTGCTACATGGGACTTCCCTGGTGGTGCAGTGGTTAAGAATCCGCCTGCCAATGCAGGGGACATGGGTTCGATCCCTGGTCCGGGAAGATTCCACATGCCACGGAGCAACTAAGCCCATGCGCCACAACCACTGACCCTGCGCTCTGGAGCACGCGAGCCACAACTACTGAGCCCACGTGCCACAATTACTGAAGCCTGCACTCTAGAGCCCATGCTCTGCAACAAGGGAAGCCACCACAATGAGAAGCCCGTGCACCGCAACGAAGAGTAGTCCCCGCTTGCCACAACTAGAGAAAGACTGCGTGCAGCAACGAGGACCCAACGCAGCCAAAAATATATAAATTAATTAATTAATTAATTAAAAAAATGACTTGCTACACATAGCTTAAAACTGTGCCTTTCACATAGCAAGAGTTCATTAAATGTTAGCTATCATTGTTATTTTTGTTATTACTATTACCAAGGGCTCTGTGAGGAAACGATTTCTCATCACTACAAAGTTTCCCAGATGTGGGACCTTGCAAATTATTTAACTTCCTGCATCATCACACTCACCTTTTATAAAAGGGAAGCAAACTGGATTATCGTAAAGATCCTTATAGCTCTGACAGATGTGATTGGCCTACCCACCCACTTTCCTCTCCTGTACTGACACCTCCCCATCCCTTTTCCAGTCATCCTAGGCACCTGAGGCCTCGCTTCCAGTTAGTTGTCTTAATAATCCTTCCTGTCTCCAAGGCAAAGTGTTGCCCTGTCCCAAGAGACATTTGCATCTTAATAATGTTTTCTGAAGGACCAAATAACTTTTAAGGCTCAAAGGAATCACTCTCCACTGATGGAATTTCCTTGTCAGAAAGAGAGTAAGGAGCAACTTTCCCAAAGCCTTGAATCCCTTCACATCAGTAGCTACTCTCCTAGGGCCATGATGCCCACACTCAGGGCATTGTTCTGCTATAACACATTGTGAACAACACTCCCATCAATGCCAGTAGCCCACCAGCCCTCTTTCTTTCAAAATTATTTTATTAGGTAGATATCAGCCACTTAGCCTAACCACTCAAAGTGTGGAAATGGAGCTTCTCCAACTTGAGCTCAGCCCGTTTAATTCATCAGCACTGTATGTTCCTGATGCCCCTGGTTCCCATATGCAAGAGCTGCAGGAGGCCTGGGAAAGAATGTGGGAAGTCCCCTTCTTCACAGAGATTACAGTGTGGCAGAGGTTTGTGAAGACACCACCACCAGGATGACGCCCCTGAACCGCCTGGGCAAACACTCCCTTGTTAAACTGTAGGCCCTCACATCTCTCCTGAGACTCTCGTCACTTCCTACATCCTACTCCTTACTTGGTTGGCAGAATCTGAGCCTTTTCTGCATCTCCCACAGCTCCAGCACAGGCCAAACACGCAGCAAATGCAGAGAATAAATACACAAACAAATGCAAAATCTTTTCCTCTTCTGTATTCTTTCAAGGTAGAAATGCTTCTCAGAAGAGAATCAAGCAAAATCCAAATGCTTTAGTGGGATGCATTGCTTGGGTCGCTTAATTTACCGTAGGGGGCGCCAAGAGCAGCTAGTGAGATTTTCAAAAAAAGCCGAGGGAGCCAGGGGCTATCAAAGGCAGAGTGACAGTGTCTCCCTGTGAGTTTTGCTGAGAGCGCATTATGCCAAAGTCCAATAAATGCACCAACGTCAGTTTCCCATCCCAGCTCCCGTTTGGCTCCCAGAAAGAAAAGGGAAGCAAAACTCCTGTTATTGCCCCAGCTGCCGTGGGCTGGGAGAGGGTCCTTCTATCTGACAGGAAGGGTGTCAGGAGCAGCTACATCCTGTTTGTGCTCTACCAGGCATCACGCTTCCCAGGACTTCCTTCTCTGTGGCCTTGTTTTCTTTCCAGATTTCTCTCCAGATTCCCTGACATTACTTTGTCTTTTGTTACAGCTCTGGGGCATAATCAAGCAAGGATACAAATGCAAAGGTAAATGTTACTTTGTTAAAATTTTTATTTTATTTTATTTTTTAAATTAATCTGTATTGGCGTATAGTTGCTTTACAATGTTGTGTTAGTTTCTGCTGTACAGAAATGTGAATCAGTTATACATATACATATATCCCCTCTTTTTTAGATTCCCTTCCCATTTAGGTCACCACAGAGCATTGAGTAGAGTTCCCTGTGCTATACAGTAGGTTCTCATTACTTATCTATTTTATACATAGTAGTGTATATATGTCGATCCCAATCTCCCATTGTTAAAATTTTTAAATGTGACTTTTGGGGCAGGAATCATATTTGTCTGAGGGAAACTTTAAAGCTCTTGGCAACACAGAGAAATTGGGGCTTTGGGGCTACTGGCAACTGAAGAGTTAACGGTCCAGTAAAGGACTCCCTGAAGTTTTGGAGATCCCAGGCTGGAATTTTACCGCTTGTTACAAAGAGCAAGGAAACCACACTTATTATCCCACACACATCTAACCCCTATCTCTAAGATGTCTTGCCCATCATCAGCACACATTTAAGGTGGGAATTCTGAGGAGGGCAAGGCTGATGGAAATACTGTACGTAAGAACTTTGTCCTTCAAGGGAAAAAAAACCCCATGCTCATTTCTGTAATACATATGCATTTCTTTCTACTCTCACATAGCTATTCCTTTCTCTACTAAATCACAGATGATGATGAGAAAAGAGGAGATACATTTGCCCCTTTCAATGAATTTGTTCATATACTTCCCCCATTTAATTGAAATTTATAGCAATTGAATAAATATGTATTTGATAAATGCAATAGGAATGTTTGGCTACTTGTAGATATATGATTATTACACATTATTGGTGTTCAGAAAACTGCTGGATATTTTATGCAGACTGTTTATACTGGTTCTTTTAAGAATCTGATAATGCTCTTGAAAAATATAATAAAGCCACAAAATGAAATATCTTTTTTTTTTTTTTTTTAGATCTTTTTCTTTTTTAATTAATTAATTTATTTATTTTGGCTGTGTTGGGTCTTCATTTCTGTGCGAGGGCTTTCTCTAGTTGCGGCGAGCGGGGGCCACTCTTCATCGCGGTGCGCGGGCCTCTCACTGGCGCGGCCTCTCTTGTTGTGGAGTACAAGCTCCAGACGCGCAGGCTCAGTAGTTGTGGCTCACGGGCCTAGTTGCTCCGCGGCATGTGGGATCTTCCCAGACCAGGGCTCGAACCCGTGTCCCCTGCATTGGCAGGCAGGTTCTCAACCACTGCGCCACCAGGGAAGCCCCAAAATGAAATATCTTAATCACAGAATGCCTTCAGATTAATAATGTTCCCTTGTGATGCCTTTTTTCTCTAGCTGTCTTTCAGTATTTGGCCCTCATTTTACATGGACAGGGAACTTCCTTGAACCTCTATGGGAGCCACCTTTTAGTGCTCAAAAAACAAACAAACAAAAAAACCCTTCCCTTTTGTTCTCTGAATCAGTTGACTTAGTCTAACTTGAATTTTTACTTTCAAGCAGCAGAGATACTGGTTTCTGCCCCTTATCCCCTAGACACACACAGACAGATACAAACACACACACACAATTTTGTGAAGATGAAAATCAATTAAACCCTAGGATCTCTGTTCAGATGGTATTTCTCTTAAAGACATATAGAGTGAAAAGTCTAATTAAAATAGACCAGACATGTCATTGCAATTTGATCTTTCCCTGATGTTATTAAAAAACCATTTGAAACAAGACCATTTAGGGGAAAACGGGTATTGGAAATAATGAGAAAATTCCTCTTTGATGGTGAGAGAAATATACCCTATAAAATGATCATATCTGTTCAGTGATTTCAGAGAAATGTAGGACCCTCATCGTATGAAGTAATTGTGTTGCTATCTTCCAAAGTGGCCAAAATTTTGTACCCCAAGTAGCAATTAATATCTACTTTCTTAACTAAAGCATCTAATGGGAAGGCCACAGAATCTGCTGCGTGCCATTTCCAAGCCATAGTCAAATCTGAGACATGTTTATTGAGCATATGCTCACCTTGTCTTCTGCTTCTATGCCAAGAAAGGAAGCAAAAGATATAATCGCTTGCTCTGGAAAAGATTTTGGGAAATGAAGAAGAATAGAAAATGCAGACAAATACTGAATGGAGGGACACCTTGCTGTAAATATTTAGAGGCAACTGTAGGTCCTGGGAGAGACTAGATGCTGAGGCTTCTCACCCTCATTCTGGCTCAGGGAGCCTCTTTGTGGGGAATCCATCTCGGTCTGGAGAAGAACCCCAGTTCCATGTAATTTGCATTTAGTTTTGGGCAAAGGCAACTCCCTATTCAGGCTGCCCCTGCTTGTTGCTCCCCAGCACTTCAGTGAACTGTGTAGAAGAAGCAGCTGAACAAATATAAGAGAGAACTTTAGGAACCCCAGGAAAGGAAGAGAGTCCCACTGGCCCTTTTACTAGCCCTAGACACACCCCGTGGACCTGAGATTAAACACAGAAACAAGGGTGGGGGAGGGGAGGCGGGAGAGCCCAAACGCCAACCTGGAAGCCTGGTCAGCGCCTGACATGTGGTTCACGCTAATCACCTGTGATACTTTTGGTTGTTTCAGACTGTGGAGCCAACTGTCATAAACAGTGCAAAGACCTCCTGGTTCTGGCCTGCCGGAGATTTGCCCGGGCGCCCTCCTTAGGCAGCGGTCATGGGTCACTGCCTGGAAGTCCTTCGTTGCCTCCAGGTAATGTCCTCAACTTTCTTTCCTACTGCGATTTCTCTCTGCTCACCTTCCATGCCTGCACTTTGGTTGGAGTCTGGATCTAAAGCTAGTCAGAGCCATTATAAACATAAAGGTCTTCAGGGTAAGCAGCAGTGGCTAAAGACCCTTGAACCCTACATGCTCCTTTTGGCTTTTGGGTCTCAATAACATGCAGTTCACCTGAGGTCAATTTCATTTCACCTCTGGTCTGTTCCTCTAGGACCTTACCCGTAGGACTCCTGTTGTTTGCACCCACTTTGACGGTTTGCTGTGAAGCAGTCAGATGTATGATTAATCACAATAATCACAGTAATCTTTCCCCTTCCAGTGCAGGATGAGGTTTTCGAGTTCCCTGGCGTCGCAGCTGGACACCGAGACCTGGACAGCAGAGCCATCACACTGGTCACAGGCTCCTCTCGCAAGATCTCCGTGCGGCTGCAGCGGGCCACCACCAGCCAGGCCACCCAGACCGAGCCTGTGTGGTCAGAGGCTGGCTGGGGGGACTCAGGGTCCCACACCTTCCCCAAAATGAAGTCCAAGTTCCATGACAAAGCAGCAAAGGACAAAGGCTTTGCCAAGTGGGAAAATGAGAAGCCCAGGGTGCAGGCTGGTGTGAATGTTGTTGACCGAGGCACTGCGTTCGAACCAGACCAGGATGAAGCTGACATGGTTGAGACCAGACAGGACGGTGAGGTCAGTGGTGGTCAAACCACAAATAAAATCAGAAGAGGGAGGCTGAAAGCAGCTGAGATGAGTGTTATAGTGAGCCCACAAGGCAGCCTGGTAGTTTTGAAAGCAGAATGGTTGGGAATCAAGACATATCACTTTTAGTCTTGTCTTTGGCTAGTTATGTGACTCTGGACAAATGGTCTCTTCTCCTTGGACATCAGTTTTATGATGTATAAAACTGAACCGAATGGGTTCTAAAACTCAGTGAAGGTTTCTGTGTCTGTATACTGACGTGATGTCCAGGGACCCTTGACTGTTGCTTGTATCCAATATAACAGTACGCTATACCCATCAGCTTAGTTTTCCAAGCTAGAATCAGGGTCCAAACTCAGAGGAGGCAGTGAAAGCAAAAGACATGTAGATAGAGAAGGAGAGCTGGAAACTCTTGCTCTTACTTAAAAAAAAAAAAAAAATGGCTTTTGACAGCATCATGGAGGAGAGGGTGGTGAATATCAGAGACATGGGGACCTCAGGGTTCTATGTGTCAGGCTTTGCCTCCACACAAAAAGTATGTTCAAATCATCCAAAGCAAATTGGGAAACATATGGAATTTGTTAGAACAAGCTGAAAATATAAATTGATTCAAGATGGACTTAGATAAATTTATTAGTCAATAGTCCATAGTGTATTAAGAAAAAGGATTTGGGGAAATTGGTGTCACATTCCTAACCTAAAAGTAATGTCATGGAGGGAAGCCATTGCCTCCCTACTGAATCATTTTCATAAACAGAATATTAGGTTAGGTAGAGACCCTACTGGATCAAGCCAGTGCTCTTTTTTCTCATGACTGGTCCTCCACATTCCACCTGTCCTCAGGAGATCTAAGCGCACAATCTCCATAGTTTCCTATGATGAGAAAATCGCCAATGACCTTTAACCAAAATTCCTCTAGTTCCTTCCTCATCGAAGACAATTAGTAAGGATGCCGCACATGGTCTTCAGTAGTATGAAGTTTATTGTAAGTTCCTTCTGAGCCATTGTTTCCTTTCTTTTAACACCAACTTTTTTTTTTTTTTTTGCGGTACACGGGCCTCTCACTGTTGTGGCCTCTCCCGTTGCGGAGCACAGGCTCCGGATGCGCAGGCTCAGCGGCCATGGCTCACGGGCCCAGCCGCTCCGCGGCATGTGGGATCTTCCCAGACCGGGGCACGAACCCGTGTCCCCTGCATCGGCAGGCGGACTCTCAACCACTGCGCCACCAGGGAAGCCCTAACACCAACTTTTAAAACAGCTTTATTGAGATATAATTTATGTACTATAAAATTTACCCATTTAAAGTGTATAATTCAATGGTTTTTAGTATATTCACTGAGTTGCACAACCACCACTACAATCTAATTTCAGAACATTTACATCATGTGCTTTGTGGACTACATGATCTTTTATTTCCCTCTATAAATCTTGAGTATACAAGGCACTGATCATTTGAGATGTTCCCTTGAAATTATCTGATAAACTGCTTTCTAGGAGTAGTCTTATTTTTTTAAATGAGATGCAGCCATACAACAGGTTCTGATTCGTATTGCAGGAAGGCTGACTTCAGGCTGAGGACACTGAAGGCAACTGTGTTGGCATTTGGAAGGAGCAAGATGAGACGCTCTGAAGAACACTCCAAAACTCAGGAAGTTATCTGAAAAGATATCTGGACATTTACTGCCTTGTGACACTGTGGGATCTCCCTGATTGAACTATGGGACAGAGGACTTACCCTATGAACTATTTATTTCCTCCTTCCCTGCTCCTAGTGAGGTGCCACAAAGACTGTGTTATGTAGTTGGTAGTTTTCTCTCCTATCTTTCTCTAGAGCCATTTATATACGGGTGAAATGAAAGCTTTTGTGCATGTACTTGATACTCATTCTCTAAACTCAGACTTTGCTTTTTCTGTGAGAATGTTATTTCCGTATTTTTATAAACTTTTGAGGGGGGTGTTTAACGAGGAGTCGATTTAGGGGTCTTTTTGTGTGCTTTTTGGACGGGACCAGGACTTATTTTTTTGAGGGACAAGGAAGCTCTTCCAGACTTGGAAGGCAGTGGTTCTTCTTATGATGATCTGCTGCAAGGAGAAGCTGTTTACATTGTTCTTACCATACAGTTGCTATTATAATGTGTAACAAGTCACACTTCTATAATCATATAAGTCTTGCCAATTCGGCATCACTAGGTAGCTATGACACAGTCATGAAAACTATCCTAATATTTATCATTGCCATGGGGGGAAATTAACTAAATACATGTCCCATCTCACTAGGTTTAGCCATCTTTCATAAGACTGCTATTAAGAAGTATGAATAACAATTTAAAAAATCAATTCAAGTTTTTGGGAATAAAATTCAGGAGAAAAACAAACCATCCCTCAAACCCCTTACTGAAATGCAATTTTTAAAATTCAACCAGCAATTTTTAAAACCTCAAAATAGTTTTGAGAATTTTGTTTGTTATAAAAGAAAACTTTTTGGTTGTGAAAGAGAGCTCTCATGCTCTTCCTAAGAAATTGCCATCATGATTAAGAAGAGTCATAGAAAGCAAATCATCACAAACCACCTTTGATTAACATTTCATTTAAACTTTTAAAGTATCAATATTTTGAATATCTTCCTTTGACCCAACATTACTAGACGTGGGTCTGTTTCTTACATGATGAGAGAAGAAAGAACTTGGTTGAAGATGTTCAAAAATAGAGATGGGTTTGAGCCTATGGCTGAGGAGAATGACCTGCTACCAAGTGCCCAGTCAGAAACTGGACCCACAGAGGTGCACTGGTCTGCATTTGGTAGTTTAAGTGTATATAATCCACATAAGACTGAATTTGTTTCTTTGGGGGCAGTCGCTTCAATAAAAAAATGCCTTTCTTCTCATTTTCCATTAGGTAAATGAAGACAGTTCTGTTCAGCAAACACTTGTTGAGTGCCTGCTCTGGGCAGGTCCTGTGTTAGATGCACAAAGAGGAACAACTCTTCATCTCTGACCTTGGGAGCTGAGAGCCCATGGGCATTTAAGGCAAGATGACTCCTTAAAATAGAGTTTCAAATTCGCTAGAACTGACTTAATCATGCCAAACAGATTCAGAGATCAATTTGCAGAGATATTGCAAGTTAAATGAAGTTATTAGGTGAGGGAGTTGTGATTAAGCTCAAAAATGTAAGAACTCACCATTTGCGAGCACCTCAGAAAGCAAATAGCCATCCCCAGTGTTGGTTCCATGTATATATACTCTCTATTCCTATTCATAAATGCAATGAAATACATGTTAACAAAATTAAAAAGAGAAAACGGCAATTTAAGTACAAGAAACCCTTCTTCTGTGTGTGTTTTTTTTGTTAATGAATGTTAAGACTATTCTTTTTCTTCTCAAAGCAGTTATTTCACTTGCCACTTAGTTTGGGTTATTTTTTATTTTTCATATATAAGAAGACTTTTATAGGATCAGCCTTCCTGTTACAATGATACTAAATGAACCTCGAGTAAAAACAAACCAAAAAAATAATAAAACTAACATATTATGTGTATATATGTACGTAAACTATTTTTGTATATGTGTGTATATATGTGTTTATATGTATACACAGGCACGCAAACACACACACATACACACACATACTACTATTATTACTTTGCTGAAGAGGAATTTGAGTCCATAATAAAGCTGCTTTATAATTTTGATTATATCATTTACTCATAACCAATGGTGACTCTGATGTTTCCAATATGTCAATTTCCCATAATCAATAAAATAAGTAAATTAGGCAAACCCATGGTGGAGCAAAAAAAACTATGATGGTTGGTTCCTCCAGACCTTCCTTTTGTAGGTTTGATGATCACTGTCAAAGCAAAAACAAAACCAAACTCTTAACAGTGAATATTGGGAGTTCCCTGGTGCTCTAGTGGTTAGGATTCTGGACTTTCACTGCTGTGGCCCGGGTTCAATCCATGGTCGGGGAACTGAGATCCCGCAAGCTGAATGGCACAGCAAAAAAAAAAAAAAATTAATAATATTAGATACCAAGAGAGGAAATGTTAGATACTGCAACTGGGTCTTCATTGAAGGATGTGCTAATTGTATTGATGCTTTTTGAGATCTGCCTAAATCAGAGAGTGATCCTAACCGGTATTTGAACATTTTATGTTGAGTGGTGTTTCCTGAAGCAATAATGTCCCCAGATTTCCATGGTAAAACAGCCTCTCCAAAAGACAGAGAGGTTTGCTGTTTAACAATGAAGGCAGGACTCCTACAGAAGGAAGTACCAAACTGTTATTGATGGCAAGAAGCTTAAGCATTCCTAAGATAAACACCTTGATTTTTGACTGAGGAGGTAAATTCAGTCAAATGAGATTCCCACAGCATATCTTTGGCATGCAATCCACAGCCAGATTTAAATCCCATCTATGCTAGTTGTAGTCATGAGATCCTGGGCAAGTCATATACATCTATTTGAGCCTCAATTTTCACATTTGAGAAGGAGAGATTTTACCACCTTCTCCAACTACCTTATAGAGTTGTTGTAAGGATGAAGTCTAATAGTACATGTAGAAGTACTTTGTAAAGACCTTATAAATTAATATTATTTTACAGTTAAACAAGGTTCTTCTCTACAATTGTCTTCAGACTACATGTTTACATGGCTGTGTTCTTTGGAGGCTCTAAATCCAACATTTAACTAAATTTTGTGTCAAAGAATTAAAAAAAAGAAATATTCACAGGGGTTTTTCTTACGCCTGGCACTGTGTGTGTATAGGGTCAGTTCTGCTCTGTTTTCTAACATTAGCTATTCTCACTCTGTTTGAAAATAGGTAGACAAGATTAAGAAACCAAATGGGTAAAATGTAAATAAGCTTAGAGAAAAATAGGTCAAAGTAGAAATATGCTTAAGAGGCTGACTCTTGGAAGAATTTATTTTACTACAGGGAGACGAGGAAAATAAAAATTAACTTTTCAAATAAAAAGGACTCCATTTATTTGACAACTAGAATGTATTTTATAGCAATTGAAGGTGGTAATGATAGGAAACTACTTGGAATTTAAGGCTCATTCAGGAAATATCTTCCTCCATTCTTCATCCAAAACTTGCTTGCTGAAGTTTAGAGAGTACTCAGACCTCAAACAACAATATTTATTCTCTTTTTAAAATGTTAATGGCAAGCACGTTGGAGTTCACATCTATTTAAGTGACTTGCAGTTTATACATAATAGCATAAGGAAAGCATCACATGGGGAATTCTATAAGGCAGTTGACCTGAATGCTTCAAAAATAAAATGTCTTAAAAAAAAAAAGGGAAAAGGATGAAAGGAGCAGTTATGGATCAAACAAAACACAACAACAGAATGCAGTGTTGTAAACCTTGATTGGATTCTGAACCAAACAATAAATAAAGCAGACATTTTTGGAGGGCAACTGTGGAAATTTAAATGTGAACTACATATTAAATGACATGGAATGAATGTTAATTCACTCCAGTATAATGATTTTATGGTTATGTAGGAGAATGTCTTTATTTTTAGGAGATAGCTGGTGAAGTAGTTAGGGCTATTACAAGTTAATCACTAAAGGGATGTTCCCTATCAGCTTAAATTATACATCACGGCCCATCTCTGGGAAACCTGCCTCCCAGGTAATGAGCCTTAAGCTAAAATACCTTTGTTTAGCTCACAGGAAACATCCTGACCAGGCCCACCTGTGAATGACTGCAGGCCGGAAGAAGTTAACACACCCCTTCCGGAGGCTGACCAGAACCAGGAAATGTTCGACTTTACTCCCGCCCCTTTTAGTATAAAAGAAGCCTGAATTCTAACTCAGGCAAGATGGTTTTTTGGGACACGGGTCCACCATCTTCTCGGTCTGCTGGCTTTCTGAATAAAGTCGGTATTCCTTGCCCCAGCAAGTCTCTTGATTTATTGGCCTGTCGTGCAGTGATCAGTATGAGCTTGGAGTTGGTAACAAATTTTGGTGCAGTCAGCCAGGAGCCTTGCTGCTCGTGGCTAGCCAGCCCTGGTTGGGGAATTTTCAGTTAAGGCCCTAGCAGCTGCAGGGGTCACTTGCCCTGAAGATCCTCCTTTCAGATTTCCCCAAAGTGGCACTGGTTGCCCCAACGCTTGGCAGTTGGAGCAAGGAATCAACACTTGGGAGTCGATGGGCTCCAGACAGCAGGTAAGTCACTCTGGTGAGTACAGTTGGCACTTTCTTTCCTCCCTGGGACTTTTTCTCTGGAATAAGCCAATTTATTTTGTATTTGAGCGGGGTACACTGTTGATGAGAGAGAAGAGTTGTTGGACTTTTACCCAATTTGTGAACTGGTTCATTTGTTTCTTTGGATGATAGCATTTGTGTGTATAATTTGTGTTTTGCTTGTCTTGAATTTCTGTCTTTAAAAATGGGGAATGTTTCAACTATCCCTAAAGAAAATCCTGTGTGGCACATTTTGGATAAGTGATCTGATTGTAACTATGAACCCATGGGTGAGAGGAAGATGATATTTTTTTGTAAAAATGTGTAGCCATAGTACCTGTCAGGAGTTTAGGCAGGGTTATCCTGGGGCCCTGTGCACCATGTACTGCTACTGTTGCTGTGTTAATTAAACAATTTATGGTCTCCTGTGTCGTTGGTGTATGTAAAACCCCAAGACCAAACTTGAGGGTTTATTTAGGATTTTCTGTTTGTCCTTTGGATTTTTCATTTTATTTTGTTTGGTACTGTTTCTCCATTTACAGCCAAATCAATTCTGTGATATTTAAAACTTTTTTTTTTAACATCTTTATTGGAGTATAATTGCTTTACAATGGTGTGTTAGTTTCTGCTGTATAACAAAGTGAATCAGTTATACATATACATATGTTCCCATATCTCTTCCCTCTTGCATCTCCCTCCCTCCCTCCCACCCTCCCTATCCCACCCCTCTAGGTGGTCACAAACCACCGAGCTGATCTCCCTGTGCTATGCGGCTGCTTCCCACTAGCTATCTATTTTACGTTTGGTAGTGTATATATGTCCATGCCACTCTCTCACTTTGTCACAGCTTACCCTTCCCCCTCCCCATATCCACAAGTCCATTCTCTAGTAGGTCTGTGTCTTTATTTCTGTCTTACCCCTAGGTACTTCATGACCTTTTTTTTTTTCTTAGATTCCATATATATGTGTTAGCATATGGTATTTGTTTTTCTCTTTCTGACTTACTTCACTCTGTATAACAGACTCTAGGTCCATCCACCTCACTACAAAAAACTCAATTTCATTTCCTTTTATGGCTCAGTAATATTCCATTGTATATATGTGACACATCTTCTTTATCCATTTACCTGTCGATGGACACATAGGTTGGTTCCATGTCCTGGCTATTGTAAATAGAGCTGCAATGAACATTGTGGTGCATGACTATTTTTGAATTATGGTTTTCTCAGGGTATGTGCTCAGTAGTGGGATTGCTGGGTCATATAGTAGTTCTATTTGTAGTTTTTTAAGGAACCTACATACTGTTCTCCATAGTGACTGTATCAGTTTACATTCCCACCAACAGTGCAAGAGGGTTCCCTTTCCTCCACACCCTCTCCAGCATTTATTGTTTCTAGATTTTTTGGTGATGGCCATTCTGAATGGTGTGAGATGATATCTCATTGTAGTTTTGATTTGCATTTCTCTAATGATTAATGATGTTGAGCATTCTTTCATGTATTTGTTGGCAATCTGTATATCTTCTTTGGAGAAATGTCCATTTAGGTCTTCTGCCCATTTTTGGAATGGGTTGTTTGCTTTTTTGTTATTGAGCTGCATGAGCTGCTTGTAAATTTTTGAGATTAATCCTTTGTTAGTTGCTTCATTTGCAAATATTTTCGCCCATTCTGAGGGTTGTCAAATGGAGGAAAGAATCAGGAAAAAACCCAAAAAAACCCTGTCTGTTCTTATCCAAGAGTGGGACATTCCCAGGGAGAAGAGAAATTTCCACTTGACTCCTAAAATCACCAAAAGCTATAAATAGAAGTGTCTTTTCCATAAATACTAGTAAAAAGGGTTTAGCCATCTAGACAGGTGATCCTGATTTATCCCATCTGGCAGAAACCCAATTTGAATCCAATCTCTTTTGTAACTGATGGGTTTTACATTGTTACACCTGATTCATGGCTGAAATTTTGGAATGGGAACTATGAGGTTCCTGTGTTTGTATGTGTGTTATAGATGCATGACCCTGCCAAAATTAATTTGTAAAAGAGCTCTATTTAATTAGCTTAAAGGAAATTAAGCACTTATATAAATACTCAAACATAAAAGACTGGCCAGAATGAATTTTGGGTTCATGTGATCTAGGCAATATTCAGTATTGAATTAATATCTGGTATTAAAGTTAGCTTAAGCTTGCTTGTTTGATTAATACAGACATGTCTTTAGAGTCATCAATTTAGGTATAATACATTTATGGTACCTAGGTCTACTAGAAATAAAATAAGACCTTATTATTCCTGTTACAAAGTTTGTCAGCAAAAGATAACAATATGACAAAGCTTTTAAGTAAATAGAGGTAAATGAGGTAAGAGTTTTAGATAAACTCTATAGGAATAATTATGTTTTGGGAATGTCTAACTAAAATAGTCTCTCCAGATTTTCATAACTTGAAACTAAACTAAGTTAAATGAAGAGAATTCATTGACTATCTGGGTCATTTCAAATAGGATAAAATATTAGAACATTAATTGCTGGGCAGTCTAAGTTTACCTAACTTTGCCTTCTTAGGAGAGGAAGACTAAAGCATACGTTTGTCAATCAGGAAA